CCACACACCCACACACATGTACACACACACATGCACACACGCACGCACACTCTCTCTCTCTCTCTCTCTCACACACACACACACACACAGACACACTCTCTCTCTCTCTCTCACACACACACACACACACTCTCTCTCTCTCTCACACACACACACACACACACACACACACATACACACATACACACGCACATACATTCTCCTGTCTATTGATGGGGAGCGCCACCTGCTGGAAACTGGGTCCAGCGTCCCATGAACATCGTGAATAGAGCACCAACCGGGACCCCACACACACTCTCTCGTCGAGTTGTGTATAGGAAACATGACAAAACGTACATACAGCATAATCACTACCTTACCCTTCCCGAGCCACATAAACAAAGGAACTACGGGCTGCGCACCCGTGCCCTCACGGTAAGTCAATGCATAACTCAACAGACAGGTGGTCACACCTCTTATACAAACAGATCCCATTCATGTGCAATAAGTGGGGAACAATATAGAGATTTTGGAACTAACAGCGAGAGGAGAGAAGGAAAAATGGAAAGGGGTGGAAGAGGAGAGGGAGATGTGAGGAGTTTTCACACAGGAGGAAGGACGCGGAATAGTGCAGGAAGTACGAAACCATTGGTAGAGAAGATCATGCATTGCACGGGCTTCCTGGATGGCTGTCCTTGACGCATTTCGGGCCATCATCAGGGGTGTCAGAGGCCCCCTCAAGAAAACTGCTGCCTCTCTGGCTTTTTCCCGGTTTCTTTTTCCAGCTTTTTTTTTCTTTTAGGGAAATTGATAAAACACCAGTACCTCGGAGGCTCTCTTTCCGGAGCCGGATTTGGGGTTCTTTTGGGGCATGTGACAGACACATGGCGTTAAAAAAAAAAAAGGACGAGGCCTGGCCACCTGGCATTATTGCTTGACTTTTAATTCTACTAAAGAGATGTGAATTTTGCAATAAACAGGTACATATTTCAGTTGCCCGATAACGAGCTTGGTGACTGGGGCTTGCTCAGAATGTATCTGGTCTGTTCACTGATCCAGATACATTCTGACTCACCAAACCTTGTGAATGTATCCAGACAAAAAACACCAGAACTAGATACAATTGGAAGTTGTGTAGTGGAGCAAGGCCTATGGCAGATGAGCGCCACTGATGTTTTGGTGGTTACGACTGGCGTGAGATGCCAAGCACAGAAAAAACGTTCAAAAACTTGTGTTATCTAAAATTTTCCTGATTTGCACCTGGTTTGGTACTTGACATAATGAGAATGCAAAACACAAATTTTACGTCTTGGGTCCAATAAAATTAGCGAAGGCCCAGGGCAGGTGCAGGTGAGGGCAGTAGCAGTCCCCCTGCCATAGGCAGATTGTGCCAGGAAGAGAAGGCTCTCCCCTGGCTATCGCTCTGTCTGGCATTTTGCTTGCCGGTAAGGAGCAACCAGACTGGCAGCCCCCAGAATAGATGGGGCATGTGTTTTGGGTGTGCCAAAAAAAAAAACAAAAAAAAAAAGAAAGAAGCAAAACCCTCAAACAAATTGAAATACCATTGGGCTGTCCCTTTTGTTATCATGTCAATTCAATTTAACTAGTTGGGCTAACCATTTTTGGTGGTTTCACCTTTATCTTTATCCTTATCTTCATCCTTATAGATAGCCGCGATACCTCGGGAAGAACCAGTGGTACTCTCAAATCATACAACAGAAATGGAAGAAGTTGTGGCGAGGACAAATGGGGAGATGGATAATGATGCAGACAGGGAGGAGGAAGATGCCGACAAATGCATAGACATTACCACCGAAGAAGTCGTTGTCAAGGTATGTATGTACACACGTATGTATGCATGTCGCAAATTGACAGGACTTGTTGTCAAATTATGCGTGTATGTAATATGTGCATATGTTGTGATGGACTCCATTGCCAGTTGACCCGACTGTATGGTTCAGATGTGCGGCTGAAATGTGCATGTGAGATGTGTGACTGGACAACCATGCATTGACTGGTCAGGGAGATCTGGAAAGGCCCATGGGGATATCACTCAGCATGGAAACAGGATGGTTATTTTGGCCGTTTTGAATGGAATCCAAATCTGACCTTGTTTTCGAATACCATAATGGGGGGTTCCAAAAGGGGTATTGGAGGAGAGGAGAGGGGTTCCGAAAGGGGTGTTAACATACTATGGTTTAAACCATAGTACTTCCTAAAGTTGTGCCCGTTTACAAGCCACAATTTTAGGAGATGTACGGGTCACCACAGTAGCGCCCAAATTCATCCGACTAAAAAAGTTTCTGCTCTATTTTTTTCCCACGACCAATAGCTGGGCCAAGTACTGGCTGTAGCGGTCCCCCTGAGACCCGGCAGCTAGGCCGGTCCAGTTTCAGGCCGTCGGTCTGATTCTGGTTCGGCACCGTTGGTTTTCCCAGTACCTGGACCTAGGCCGGTATATCACTTCGGCCTACCCAGGTCGGGGGTTGGTTCGGCTAGTTGTTCAGTTGTTCGTTCATTCACTCAGTCGGGCCACAACACTCAGCTGCTGCTTCTCGTGTGTGTCCATCTCCTCTCTATCCTCTCTCTTTCTCTCTCACCATCTCCGCACGTGCCCCCTGCACGTGCATCACATTGGTATCGGAGCAGGTTTTCGAACCTCTGCTCCCGCCCTCCCTTTTCCTCTTGCTATCCTACCACTGCGGATAGCCATCTCCAAGTCCATTCCTGCAGCCGCACCTGGCCCGTCAACGCGACTAGATATGTCTGCCATCCAAGCTGGCGCCTTTCTCCTTGGTAACCTCGATGTTACCTCGATGCCTCCGTTACTCCAGCCGCTGCTGTTCTCCTGTGGACCGCCTGTTCTCCTACGGACGGGCGACGCCGGCCTGTTCTCGCTTTTGCTTTGGCTTGTCCATCGCCCGTGCATCGCCAGGTGAGGTGTCTGGATTGCAGCGACCTCGACAGCTTGCAGCTTGCACTGCAGTGAGAAATTCATTGAACCTTATCATTTCGAGGAAGGAAAAGTCGTCAAACGGGTTAAGGAGGTGAACCTGCGGCGGATTGCCGTCCCGCCCAATTACTCCCCCTCCTTTCCCCCTTGGCTCCCGATCAACCTTCTCCCACCATCACGCACTCCCTCTGCAGCACTCGTTCCCCTCCCCTCGGACTCGCTTCCCCGTTGCTGCTGTGCCCAACACTCTTCCCCCCGAAGCTACCTCTCCCCACGCTCAAGATCCCCCTCCCTCTCCAACTGCGGCCCGTTATCCCCTCCAATTCGGGTCTGACTCTCTTCCCGTCTTGATCCCGACTCCGACTCTCCCTCCCGATTGGCTCCCTTATCCCGCTTCCCTCCTCTTCTCCTTCTCCTCGCTTCATCTTGGATGCCCCCCTCTCTCCCCGGTGCGCCTAACCTTCCCCTTCCCCCCGATTGATCAACCACTCACCCCTTCCCACCGCAGCCCGCTGCCCGCTTGATCCCGATAATCCCCTCCCCGAGCCCAACCCCGCCCCTACTCGCGCTGCCTGATCTGCGCAACTCGTCCTCCCCAATCCCCCTCCAACTCCGACCCCACTCTCTTTGACCCCCGCTCCGTGTTTCCCCCATCCCGATCCCTCTCTCTACCAACCCCTGCGCCCATGTGCGCGCGATCCCCCCTCCCCTGCTGCCCGACCCGCTGCGCACTATGTCGTCGATTCCCCAATCATGATCTCGTCATCTACCCCTCCCGATCCCGATCCCGGTGCCCCTCCTCTCGATCTCCCCCTTCCCCTCACTTCCTGATCCCGACCTCGCATCTCGCCGTCCAATCACACTCCTTCCCGGCTTTGTCCTACCCTGATCCCGACCTCCTGCCACGTTATCCCATCTCCCCCCTTCCCGTTCCCGTCTCCCCGACCACGTCCCACGTTCCCCCCCGCGACTCCCCCCTTTTGCTCGCGGTAGTGCACGTCAACCACTGCGTTTCGACTCCCCTCCTCCCTGATCCCGATCCCGCTCTCCCCAGCGACCAACCCCGCCACCCTCCCGACACCCATTCTCGTTACCCTCGCGCCACTTTCTCCCTATTCCCCCACTCCCGCTTCCACCCCTTGCCCGATCCTGACACTTCCTCCCAACTTCGATCCCCGACTCCCCTCCCGCCTGCGTCCCTCGTCGTAGGTGCGCCCTTCCGCTATCCCCCACCCGACACATCTCCCCCTTGATCGATCCATGCCGCCACTCCTCCCGGGATGTGCCCCCCCCCTTCCCTCCCCTTTCGACGCTACTCCGCCCACCCGACCCCGATTCCTCCCGCGCGCACGTGTGCACGACCTCCCTCCTCATCTATTCCCCGCTTGCATGGACGTGCACGCCGGGACGTTGGCGGGAGCTGCACATCTGTTAGAAGATAACGCAGATGCCCTACCATGAGCTCAACATGAACAGAATTGTCGTGCAGAGCGAAAGGGCAAAAGCGCATTCGATTTCGATTTCCTGTACGAATACCAACTGTGAGATCTTGGCCTATCGATCCTCTAGCACTTCCGTGCTTGAAGCTCGAGGTGTCAGAAAAGTTACTACAGGGATAATTGGCTTGTGGCCGCCAAGCATTTACAGCGGCGTTGCTTCTCGATCCTTCGACGCCGGCTTGTCCCATCATCGTGAAGCAGAATTCATGAAGTGTTTGCTGCTTCCTTCCCCCAGGTCGCGGCGTGATTATCGACACTCTCCCTTGTTGCGGCATCGCCATCTCCACCGGACATCATCATCATCACGGCTCGTCATCATCTCCTCGCTCGTGCAGCATCATCATCACGGCTCGTCATCACTCAGTCGTACCACGACACTCAGCTGCTGCTTTCCTGTGTGTCCATCTCCTCTCTCTCTCTCTCTCTCTCTCTCTCTCTCTCTCTCTCTCTCTCTCTCTCTCTCTCTCTCTCTCTCTCTCTC